GCATCGAACAGATTGATTTTTATCATTAACATCTGATCCCATACGTTGTTACAGGTCATATCTGGATCAGCTTGTGCACAATATCTCTTGATATACTCGGCTGTATCATTAGCTATCTCCTGACCATAAAATGGGTCAATAATCACTGATTTTCTTAGGGTCAGAATACGCAATAACATATTTGGCTTCTTATATATCCACCATAACATACTCGCCTGCTTGAGACCCGTCGTAAACATCAAATAATTGAGTATTACGAGCATAGCAGAGACTGGCTCAGTGATCTGAAATCGAGTTCGTTTTGTACTCTCCTATATTTGTACCTGCGTTGCCCTATGCGTCTGTCGGGGGCACTGTTCAACAGCGGTATTACATCAGTGCGTGATAGAATAAGCGCGTTCCGTCTCAGCAAGAAGCTCTTGTCCCATCTGTGCGCATGGGAGCCAGAATTCGCCACAAACATGTATGACCATCACGCCGCTTAGTCGACGAAGCGACGCGTTTTGCCTTCGTTGCCAGAGCCTAGCACACCGTCCGGTCCTATCGGTAGGGACGCTGGGAAGTATCCCAGCGAGAGAAGGGTCGAAGGTTGATGTGGGTGGCTTGAAAATAGGATTTAGCATATTCCATTATTATTATCCCGACCAGTAAGGTAGCAGTTTAGGTTAAATCTAATTGCACCGCTCGCCAGCGGGAGGCTCATAATGAGCTTGCGAAATGTGCAGATGCAATTTCTCTCGCTAAAATGTCTCGTTCAGCTATAAAATAGCCCATAACAAGTATATAAAAGTGAGTGTGTGAGTTATATAAGCGGTGCCTATATAATACTGCTTCGGAATAAACTGCAAATATGTCTGAGCCGTCTGACTTCGAAATCGGATCGATCGCTCTCTTCTGCTTTCCTGACTGCTTCTGCCCGATAGGTCAAATAGTGTGTTAAAATGCGCACTTACCTCGATCGTGTAATGAGCGGGCAGGACGAAATCAATTCATTGTTTCGGCGCCGTAGCTCGCGCCGTTAGTCGTGTCCATGTACGTACATACGAACGTGAGTGTTGTACGTGTATACGTGACGCATAAGTGTATGCATCGCGCGTACTAGACGTGTGTGTTAGCAATACGAAGTGGTAAACAAAGAGTTTCGGCCTGAAGGGAGTGTTTAGTCACACATAGAGTAGCCAGCTCAGCTGCAGCCCGTTCAAAATTGGCATACCATTGCTAGACAATAGCTAACAATTATATATCAAAGGGAACGAAAGCAAACGAGCATAGCGGAGCTGTAGAAGTCAAGCTCCGCTACTAAACGAGACTGAGATCGTTATAGGCCGCGTGTTCAATTAGCGCAAACCTAGGCAAAGCAAAATATTAACGGGTACCCTTAGATCGATAAATGAGCGAGCCATTGCGAGTCACGTGATTAATTCGTTCGGAATGCCCGATGTTGCAAAAGCTCCGTCGGTGCTCTCGCGACAGAATATCAGTAGAGGGTAAAATTAGCATAATGGAAGTGGTAGGTTCAAGTAAAAACGGAAATGGCCTGAAATCCGAAAAGCCTCAGATTAAATAGCCTCGTTTTTTTTTTCAAATTGCCATATTCCTTCATCAAAGGCCAGATAGAAAGCGTATATGGTTCAAACCCCGAAATGTTTAAAAACCTCTACTTAAAATAGAAGCAGGACTTCAAATGAAAGTGGTGCTCACTGATTCGGTAGAAGGCGCTTTTTTTTCCACAGTCCGATATCCGCATACAGCTACAGGACGCCATGATGTAGTGTTATGAACTTGGTCTTCTCCTGTTTTTCCGCCATTTCGTTTGCCTTCTTATTTCATTGTTTTTTTCTAGTATTATTATCTTTGTTTGATAAGGGTAGCGAATTGCAAAGTTGTTCGACCATTGCAATAAATAAATGTTCCTAATAAATAGCGCTATATCGGCTTTTTTGTTTCCTTCAGTGGAACAGTCTTCCAGGAATGGGTCGATTGATTATAACTACAAAACGAACGGTTCTTCGTTGAATCTTCGGCGATAAGTGAAACGTTTACGTAAAAAACAGCGTAATTGTTTAGAGAAACTATACAATACTATGTTGATATAACTTAACTAATGCGTCAAGCTTACGGGTCACTGCATAATGTATTCGAGGGGATGAATTTACGGTGCTTCTGACTAAAGGCGCTCTAATTACTATATGTAAGCAGTTACCTAATCCCTCGGTAAGCTTGCCCTCGACTTTGAACGATGAGGCTGTGCAGTCACCTGCTTAGGTAATCGCTTGAAGAAAACTACCCTTTCATGACTAGTATGCCGACGTTTACTAAAACACCTGGCCAATCACTGGCTAGCTTTTCCACATAGAGTGTCAGCCCGCTTCAATTTTTACACGATAATAGCGATTTTCCTTTGCAAGTCAAATTCTCTAAATACGCTATTTTAGAGATAAATACCACTAGCGCCAAAAGCAAATACGGGTGCTGGCGTTAGAAATGAGCATGGAAAATTTTCACAGAACTAATCCTTGTAGAGTTGGTGATACGACGACGTATTATTGTATCGCCAGAATACCGTCGGAAGGTGCCGGAAAATAGAAATAATCTCTATAGGACATAGGAATGAAAAATATTTGATTACGTTACGTGCTGTTGGGCGTGGCATAGTTCGCTGTTAGAGTCAGTCGAGATCTATTTTTCGTCTGCAGCGGCGAGTTTACCTTTTTCGCGTGGAGTTAAGGACCGCTGATTCGGGTCCCCTGATAGTATTTAAAACATTTCGTATTCTAATTATTTGTTTAAGCAACAATACACAAATGCGAACGCTGAATTAATTCTGAGCCAATCGCAATAGGCTCTTCCGGTATCGGTAAAAAAAAAAGCTAATCTTCTTTCCGTTCGTAACAATCCATGAGCTGTTAGCCAATTTAGTACAGTTCAATAGTTCGCCTTATACACTTTGTTTATGTCCCAAGCGCCTTCGTCACCCCATTTTGAATGGTTATGCCAAACATATGGGTCTGTTAGGGTTTAGTACTCTCAAAGAGCGCTATTTGGGAGAATTTGGAAATGGACGTTGCTGTACCGTTAGCTTATAAATTTTGTCACGCCACTCGCGTTGTATACTGTCCCATTTTTGCCAAGTAATAGCGAATCAGATGCACTGATTAGGTTCGTTCACACGAGACCCGATCTATATTAGCCCTCCCTCAAACCCAGTAACGGGTCGATTCAAGCAAGTTCCACAGATCATCATGGACCCCACGCATCGACAAGGTTTACGTGAGTAGCAAGGGACATATATACACGCTAGCGATGACGAGGGATTTTACTCAAATCAAAATGTCGAAAACATTCGGGCTCGGTTTATGTTGGAAAATAGCAGCTGGTTAACTAGAATACAATCAACTGCTAGAAAATTAGTTTAACTATTAATTACTTCGTTGGAATACTTGGCCAAAAGTGCAGCCTTCGTTGCTGCTATTGTTATCTGTGAGATGTATTACGAGGGTCTTGCAGTATATGTATATATATATATATATACTGACGCGTGGTACCAGTGTCGTGCGTCATAGAAGTACTTCTCATTCGACCATGCACCAGTGTACGTGTTTGCCTACTAAACTTACGAAGACACAGTAATGTAGGTTCGAAGCCGGACGTAGACACACCCCGTTTCGTGCTACAAGGGATCAGCCGTCGGGAGAAGCTGATAAATACGGCAGTAAATGAAGGAAAAGCAGAAACAAAACTCGAAAAACACTTGTTTAGCGGGGGCCATCGTACATACATTGTAAGAAGTTCCATGGTGCTGTACTTCCGAACTGACTGAGGCTTCTCTCAGCTGATCTACGCTGCGTCGATGAGTAGTCAAAAGAGACTAGACTTTTTGATTAGACAAGGAATCTGTTTCTTGAAAACATCGTCGATTAACAATATAATATACATGTAAAATAACCATCTGACGAATAGGCCGTGTCGTATACGTTTGACCAGAGAACTAGGCAAAAATGCAGCGCATAATGCAGGTCTCAATATGCTGTTCATAATGGTTGTTCTATAGAAGAATCTAGACATTCTAAAATAATTTCTATCTCGTTTAGCTATTAAATTAAAAGTCTCTACAATAGGAAACACGAAAAAAAAAGGACATTTTCTTCATCTGTACCTGCACAGTCTGCAAATCGTGCAGTATTATTATTATCATCATCGCATAAGTAAATGTATTCCCCATCTTTTCATTGCTGCCAATAAACGAACTGACCAGAAATTTCCCTTTGAAAAAAGAGTTGTCTAGAACCCTAAACGTCGTGCTAATATATGCTACTATTGCTTTGTGTTCTTCCTCTGGCAGCAGAACAGCGTGTTGGAGGTACTATTGGAGAAGGTAGTGGGGTTGCGTACAAAATGCTCAATTGCTTTGCGCGATCTTTATTTCTCAAAAGCGGAAACACATTCCCCTTTAATTACACCCGCGCGCTTCTTCGTGTATGATGAAGAAGATCTATACCTTCAGCGCAGCGACGAAGCTCACTCGGCGGTCACTTGACTTCTTGACGACCCTCTTATAATAAGTAGAGGAACATCAGAGAATAGCTTTCTGTCTTAGGTTCCTTCCTCCAATGGGCCTATCTGTTTAAGGGTTATCGAGACGACACTAGGCGAGAGCGCCCCTAGCCAGCTGATCGTCTCATTTCTATCATAGTCGTTACCCGCCGAAACAGGCGGGTGAAAGCGAAGTGGTCCGCTTGAATTGGCCTAACTGTCTACCGTTGTTTGCCGAAGTTCAGAAAGAGAAAGCTCGCGGAGTCTGAAAGGAAAGAAGTAGTACGTGCTTACCGCAAGTGCGGCAGGCTGTCGCATACTGAGTAAGCGTGCAGAGGGATTGTCCTTTGCACGTGACTCACACAGAACATGGATCTCGACTGCCAACCCCCAAGGCCGGCTATTGCCTGGGAATATGCCTGTGTCTGTCTCGAATATTGGCGTGAGCTCGGCGCGCCCCACGGCAGCTGCTTTCTCCACGACATAACATAGTTAGTCTTCCTGTTGGCCGTTTGCCACTCTGCCCTAAGCATTGCAAAACATGCGGTAAGGTTCTTGACTTCCTCTGCAGTTTTTCATCATGGCCAATGAGTTCGTTGAACCAAAACGGATCCGAAAGAAATAGTTGATATTAGCAGCCCGATCGAACTTGCGATTTTTTTTATTTGAAATAGTGCTGATTACATATATACCCGTATGGTGGTGCGCAATTTTGAGATAATTTGTCAACTCTTATTGAAGACCTTTTTGTCGCCGAGGGACAGAGTTATTGACGCAGACATTGAGTCGATTAGTGAAAATCCAAGGAATAAGATGAATAAATGTGTGGGAAAAAATTAAACTTGAAAATCATTTTCTATATAATAAACAATTTCTCTTGCTTTGCGTAAACAAATGGGTCGAGAGTAATTAAGTAGATATTCGATTGCCCTTGACTGTTTCGGTAAAAGACCGGATAAGGCGCCGAATTACCGCTCCAATATGTCGTGTCCGATCCCCAACTGAAACTCAATAACTTTCTGATTAGTTAAGTTCTCAATTTAAGTTCACCATCCGGTTATGCTGGGACGGCATAAATATAATTAAGTATCCTATTCGTAACTAGTTGGTATTTTATTAAACACGTCATCACCTACTGTGGAGATATCGTTGAGATACCAACGAGTGCATATGGATTACAGTTTATTTAGAGCGTTACTGCTAAATCATGCTCAGAATGAGGAAACCTGTGAGCACATAATAATATAAGCTGATATTTCATACGTGGGCACTAAATCTGCCTATAAAATATATGTAAAAAATTAAAAATGCTTTTACATTTTCAACCGGTTCGAAAATAAGACGCATCAATCGCTTGTCGATAAAACACTATTTCAATATGGACAAAATATCTCACGCGGCTTATCCGGAATTTTTCGATAGATGATCTTTGTCAGTTTTGGCTAGACGATAGGTTTCATGTTAGACAAGCTGTAGCCTCTTTTCTTATTTCCGTTTGTTTCCACAACCATTAAAGGTCCATTGGTACGGCGACGCCTTTTGGAACCTATTGGTCCAGCTGACACAAACGAGAGAAGACGGACAACATAAATACAAGAAAAGAAGAAAAAAGTGACATTAGCGTAAGCTGGAAGGCGAACCATTTGCCTAGTTCGACTTCAATAATCGTCCGTTAATCTCTTGTTTGCTAATGCGGTGTAAATGTCTGCAAGGCTAATTAGAAGAAAGTTTGTATAGCGAGAAACTTACATAGGGCACCATTGGCCTTCTAATTAACAAAAACAAATCGCGTACCTGTGATAATTTGAGTTAGGTTTTTTTTTGTCCACATGGCCCGTTTATGTGCAACCGGGTCTTCTACTACAATAAAATATCGTCTGCTAATGTTGTACACATTTGACATACTTCGATAAATCTGTTTTATAGGTGTGTTGTTACGAAATGAACGAATGCCGGCTCAGACTGATATTGATATAATAATAAAGAATTGAATCTCTACGTTAGCCTTACAGGAACAGGGAAACACAGTTGACAGAAATCGAAGCTATAAATAAATCATAAGTAGCTCTAACAACAGCCATAGCGATTTTCATCAGTATCCATTTGTGTGTGCCCTCGCAGGGCGTCAAGCTTTTTAAACACAGAAATCAGGTCGTGGCACTGTAATCGTTATTTGTATATTTTACTACATATAAAATACGTGAATGTTAGTCTGTGAAGCTATATAGCCAGTAGGCAGAAACTGATAAAATAACCAAGCACTTATAATTGATATTTAATTCATACAAGGGTTTCAACACATTTTAACACGAAAATTGTTGTAAAGTAGGTTCATACTATTTCCATAATTTCACGGGTAATTGTCTCTTGATCGACGTAAACAGAAGTATTTGCCATCCTCTGCGATAGGATACGATTAGGTTTTTACAGCTTTTATTACAAATATTCGATCGTATAACATACATCGATGAATAATCTATAATACAAATAAGCTTGCGGGGATGAAGATGGCCACATCCCATAAAAATTCATTTTGAACGACAGAAGCGTACGAGCTAGCACCGATAAAATACACCTTCTATCTAATCACTCGCGCATAATTGCAACTGAAAAGTTTGCTGTGTGAAGCCAACAGAAGTTTTGCTTTTACGGGACGGAAAACTCTTATGTATGTATGTAACTCGTTGTTTGGTAACAGCACTCGTTGATCAAGGAACATCATTTGACGCTTAGGTAATGACGGCCTCACTAATTCAGCCCCTAGAGCAGCGACAGAACATCGGCATCTCTCGGCAGGCCAAGGGGATTGCAGGCCAACCCAACGACTGCTTAGCTAGCTGCTTTCTATGGTCAAAGCAGCGTAATCTCAGCTGTACCCATTTAGGACTTTGGAGAAAGGATAATAAAATCGACTGTCTGTTCGACGTTCGACAGATAGAGACGTTAGGAAACAAGCGCGCTCGTTTGCCCAAGCTGCACAGAAAACAACCCAGTCTTTGCATTTTTCTATTCAGATTGCGCTTAATCCGTATGCCAGTTTTACTGTATCCAAAAACATCTACTAAAATATTGCTTCCATATCCTTTACCGAGTATATTTTAATACAATAGGCAAGTCAAACAGCGACTATATAGATAGTTGTTTTATCAAACATTCAACCATTGCTGCGGGGACTAAAAGGAAGCTAACATTAGCTGTTGCAAAGTAAGCCACAATGGCGGAAAAGCTGAATTTCAACTTTGTATGTAGAAGTAATGGATTACATCCAGCTGGAAGCAATCCAAATGACGGCAGGTGGTTTTGGATCCAATTCCTAGAACGCCTATTAACCGCATCGAATCAACCGCGTGTACGTAATACTTGATAAGCAAAATCGAACGCCATTTTTAAATGCGTTGTCCGGGATGACTACACCATGTATAGGTCAAATCAGAAATGCTATAGGTCACCGGCAGTTTGCATAGAAAAACCGCCATTCCCCACTTCGGATCAGATGGTGCCATCATCAGACCGAGGGGAGGGGTACGTTGACTAGGAATGTTGGACAATACCTGACAGAAGTGCGGTCACGTCTAGAAATATCAAAATGAAATCTTTCAGGAAAATACTTCTGTCCTAGTGGGGCCTGGGAGACAGATATAGGAGCAGCAGCTGCGCACTAAAAAAGAGGAAGTCTGTTATCGAAAAAGGCCTCCTTCAGATTGTGGATATACAACCATGATGTTACCGGCATACATCTATATCCGATAGCTGTAAATAACCCACGGAGTAGCCGCTGGCTTAATCTTGTTGTTGCTCGATTAGATTAAACTGAGCATTTCCTGTTTAAATGTATACTTAATATGTTTATCATGGTCGATCATAGGAATTGAGTCAACACCTCGACTAATTCAGCTAAACGTAATGAGACGCTATGAAGCCAGAAATTGGCTGTCATTTTCTAATACTATATATATATATGTTAGCTTTTTGCCGATGATTGCCTGTCTGGTCACGTATTATGTTTTGGATAGTGTGCACGTCTCTCTATTCCGTCGAAATTTTAAACATTCGACTAACACTTTTTCTGAATTGGGAAATCAGCCCCAGCCTCCACAGAGATTTACACCGGACGCTGGTACACTTCCGGCTCCTTCAAAAAAAGGGAAGCTAGAATTTTCTCTGCAAGAGCAAAACATCGTGCCTCATTCTGATCACAAAGGAAAGCTTGGACAAAGCGTATGTATTACCGCGGGCCTCGAACACTAGCGGAGTATAAGTTACTGAATTGAATGGTGGAAGCCGTATTGAGTGTGAAATTAAATTGTAGATTCAAGTTGTAAGTGGTCCCACTGCACATTTAGATAATGATGATGACACGATGCGTTAAAGTTGAATACTTTCAGGTTACATTAGTAGAATACGTTGATGTAACTGTACCATTCGTAGATTTAAAAGCTAGAGATTTTTGACATAGTTTAATAAGTACTTCTTATTGGTTTCAGTGACAAAGACACATGTGTGAAAACCTAAATAGATAAGTGTACTAAAATCAGGACACCAATGCAGAAGTTCTTAGAAAGCTTATTCGTAATATTACTGGCTGATCCGCGCGAGCGACGGTACGTATGCGTGATATGCTGCTTCAGAAGTTACCTTTCGGTGCCTTCGTCATTTGTAGACATTTTATATGCACACACTTTGACGATCGCATCCTTTGAAGATGGAGACTCTGTGGTGTTCTATAAATACTCAGAAACTATAAAGGTTTTCTAGTGGGCAACAGTAAGCGGCAGGCTGAGCATGAATTGGCTCCATGTTTACATTACTTAGTGTTGGTGTCCTTTTTAGATAGTTTCTCTACCGGTTCGAATTTACTCTGAAATTACTTCGCTACTAGTTACAAAGCAGATTCAATTTGTGACGAGTCACTCCGCGATCTATATCAGCTCACCTAAATATTTAGAGTAGTCTCCATTGTAAACATATAATATTCAATCTTCAATCCATACACTGACTTCAAATGCGAAGTTAACCACATCGGAGTTTGGAGACTTCAGCAACGGGGAAATCCTAACAAATATTTAGCTCGTGTTCGTTGTGCGTGAGAGCTTATTTTACTGGCGTATTAGTTTATGCATTTAGGATATTTAGTATTTATAAGGTATCTGTGAAATACGTTGCTTGTAAGCATTTCGACTACAGGCGATACACCACATTTATCAGCGACTGACTTTCATAGATTCTATGACTCTTTATTTTTTCCAAAGACGCGTTCGTACAAACGCCGCTTGGTGTGTACGCCTGCGCGCGTTTTCGGCCTTTCTTGTTCCCAGTGCTTTGCCTCTCCCTTTTGCTCCTGTCGTGTATTTTGCGCGTAAATTATGTATGGTACTCATTTGTTGATGAGGCCTATCATCCTGGCTTCGTTCCTCATCTTTTGTAAGCATTTTGGGGTCGGCTCAAGCTCTCTTCGCCCTTATTCAAGTGATTCGTATTCGAAATATTTGGAGTGTATGCATACGCGTGCGTCGAACGCTCGTCACGAGCTCCCAATTTGCTACCTACCAAACATAATATTTATATGGTTTCTCTATATGTGCTGCCATCAGTGTTGCGTACGCTCCTGCTGCATTTGGCAATAATCTAAGCTGTGCTTATGCGACACCAGATGGTTAGTGGAGTATGTAAATGAAACATCGGTGTCAAATGCTTTACCACCGTTGATACTGACCCATTTACCCAGTCGATACGTTTACGTAGGTAGACCATTTCCCGTGCGCGTGTGCTTGGCGGGTATGTGTGCATCCGAGCAGATTTCAGACGTCACTTGGCTTAGCCAGGAAAGAATCTCAGAAATATTATCAGACACACACAATCTGAAATCAAATAACGATTTTATTCGAGAACGGCTGTGTACTTGATACAGGAATGGACAGCAAACCTCGAAGAAAGCCGTACTTTGCTTTCTTATGCTTACCTATTAACTAAAGATGACGAGTAGGAGTTTTCAAAGGACATCCTTGTCTACTGCCATCTACAAGGGTAGTTGAACAGTTTTCGTTAAGGGTGGCTTCGTCCGGAAATACGAATCGTGGCAAATGAATAACAGTTGAAAAATACGTTATCAGAATGGTGTAATAACAACCGGCGTTTATTTTCCACAATCAATAAAAATTGTCCTCTTCAGCGTTTTCTGCCATTCTGGTGGCCTACGAGCCTTTTTTTTCCTCTGTCCGCAAAGCCGAAAATGCACCTGTTGAGTAGTGTGAATAATTCACGTGAGCTTGCTATCAGGCTTTGCATTTTACGAAGTGCCTGGGGTCTGGTCTCTCGTACCCGTCAAAGCATATTTTTTTCGTAACATGCAAGCTATATAAATAGCTGCTTTGGCTTGTAGTCTAATTGTGTTACGCCTTTAAAACGACTACGATAAATATATCATGGCTTCGCTTATTACAAAAGAATACCTTGTGTCGAAATCCTAACGTATACTCAAAGGAAATAGAAAATTTAAAGCATTCCCTTCATATTTAAGTTATAACCTGTACATTCAACCTAACTCGCACGAAACTGCGTCCGAGCTACCTCTTTTTCTGCTATCTGTCTGAACGAAAGCGTATATTCGCCCTCGCGTATCTGTGCTTGAACATTCCGTGTTTCAAAAAAAAACCCTAGTTAGAGTTGGTTATCAACAAAAGTTTGATTTTCCGAGCCTGTTATGTCTGCGATCTACCGATCATACGATGTTTAATATTTTAAACAACAGGGAAGTTCTAGGAAGTGGGTTTTGACTTAAATTGCAGTCTCGTATATTGTTTACAGAACGTTTAAGTAAGTTTTGAGTCACTTCTAGATAGCCTCAACTAATACAAAGTAGCCAGCCATATGTTGTTCCACCTTTTAATTTGTTGCCGTCTTTGCCTGCAATTAAGCAAATATTTAGCTAATGTTCATCTTTATAACCTGTCACCGATCGTACACAGGTTTTCTTCTTTTTTTTTTTGTCTAAACGGGATAGGCGGTATACGGTGGATCCGCTGTGTGATCTCTGTTTTCTTTCTTTCTTTCTTTCTTTCTACGCAGATGTACATATTGAAGTTATCAGTGCTAATTTCAGTTCCTTAGGGCAAACCGCACAACTCGCTGGGGCACTGGTTGAGCAACAACGCTGTTTCGTTAGCCCAGAGAACAATGTATTTTTTCTTAAAAGCCTCCAGGCACATTTCTTGCCAGCTGCTTATATTAGCTTAAGTTGAGATGTCCCGTTAATTATATTTTGCGCAAGCACGTAAGGCGAACTTTTCCAGTCGTGCTGTTCCATGCGTAACAAAATGTAACTTCCGACTTTTGAGGTAAAAGTTCAACTTATTATTGCTACCAGGCACTCACAAATAAGCTCAGCCGTTAGATAATGCATCGTGCGACCCGTTCATTAAGTTTTTATTTTGATCTTCGTGTTGAAATCTTTCGAAAGTAACGCCAAAATCTACAAATTGAAGGATAATTCATTCATCAAGCCAAACATATCAAGCTGTTCAGAAATATCGAATAGAATTCGAGGGTTCTTTCAGTGAAAATCTTCTCGATACCTACGCTAAAAAAAGATGCCATATCTTCAGGCCAGCTTAGGACTACCCAATTCTTGTAGTTTTTAATATTTTCTTCTTTTTGATTAGCTTCTGGCGCATATGTTGTTTTATGTTACTTTTATACTGAATTGTCAAAGGAGTATTGACCGTTTTATGGCTCGATGGCATTGAAGACACATACTTTAGATAATATGAGACACGTCGGGT